AGGACATGACAAGATTGTGCAGATACTCCAAGAAGCTATTTCCCATACTCGGGGAGCATCCTATGACTTTCCATCAAAGAGGTTAAAGGTTTCTTGAGGCTCTTAATGTACTTTTATAACTTCTATTTTGCCTTCCATTTATCATCTCTTCTCCGAAGCACGGCAGCCGCATAGCCCCGGCTCTGAAATATAGACTTCTTTTTTTTTTTTTTGCTTTACTGCTCGTGTATGGGGCTGATCGCTCAATTATGCTGTTCTACCGAATCTTTATTTTCGTAATGCATTGTATAAACTGGAAATGTGGCCATCTTCGGCTGAATCAGGAGGAATCTCGTGAACAAGGCGTAGGGTATTGTCCAAATCCTCAAGAACCAATGTTTCAACAACGATACCGTGTGCGGTATATTATGAAGACTCTGAAAAACGGGATATGAAGTGAAATATACTCAATCTCCGTGTCTATTGCTAGGGGCATGTAAAGGGCTGGCGCCTACTGTCTGTATGACTACAGATGAATCAAGATGGTATTGCTGAAGAAAGGAAAGAAGAGGACTAGCGTACAGGTGCTGGTTCTATATACTGTGCGCTGCGCAAGTGAGGTCACGTGCGGAACGTGCATGGCATAAGTGTGACAGGATGCCGGGCCAGACTGTTACAGGGCATTCGAATCTGATGAGGCCTTTATTCTACATATATTCACTTAAGAGGACAATTTTGAATGATGCATGCAACAAAGGTATTATTTTTCCCTTTGTCCATGCCATTCATTGGTTGGCACCATTGTTGGTGAATGATAAAACCCATTGAGAGTTATAAAGTGGTCAACTTTGCTCTGTAGATTTGGAATAGGCAACTTCCTTCCAGCCACATCGCAATTCCTTAACACTGTCCAAATTGCGCCCACTTGCCACGCTAACAACAACGTCCATCATGGCCGGTAAGAGATAAAAACAAGACAGAATTGGAATGCAGTTTGATTTGATTGATTGATTGATTCAAGTTTATAGTCCATATCCAGCTCCTGGGGCTATGACAGACTGTCCGTGCCTGGACGGGGGTCTCCCCCCGTCCCTTTTGGTTTCACTACTTTATATTACATTCTCATACCTGTTCCTCGCCCCGAAAACCGGCCTTTCTGCCCGGGGCATTTGGGCGCAGGGCTGGGCCCCTAGCCCTCCTCGTCTTCTTCACTTGTTGGGCCGTATGGCCCCCCCCGTTACCCTTCTTCCCCGGTCCTTTCTTCCCCAGTCCCTTCTTCCCCTGTCCCTTCTTCTCCCGTTCCTTCTATCTCCAGTGCCTCCCATCCCCATTCATCTTGTCTCCGGGCTTCGTCCTGGGCTGCCCTGGGGGATCGGG